CACGGCAACGGCAGGGCCCGGGCGCCGGATTCCATCCTAATGAGACGAGGCCTGCTTCCCTGAGCCTTTGAGCCCCAACCGCAATGTATCGGAGTAAAACTCCTGACAACTAGTTGTGCATGTGCACACTATTGATTGGAAGCTTACGGCATAAGTTTTCACGGTGAAGCTGAACGGTTGCAAATGTCATGGCTGCGGTGATGTGCGCGCCCCCATGCGCAAATATGTAATACAGTACAAAAATGAGTGCTCAAGCGCGTAAATCAACGCGTGCAAACAATTGATCGATTAAATTCGTACAATTAACATACACAAATTCTGTTCTTGTGTACACACACCATTTCACTCACTCACTCAATCACTCACTCACTCCAACACTGTCGCCCTGCCTCTACTGTCCTTGTCTCTTCCGTGTTGTCTCTCAGTACAAATGAGCGCGCAGCTGCAGCGGGCTGGCAGCGCCTAGGCGTCTGACGCCCCTAGCTCGCGTCTCACGTCTAGGGGGTACGGAAAGGGAGGGGGGGACCAAATAGGGTCGGCAGGGCTAGCGGCCGGGTTGTTAGGCGAGGTTAGCTAGCAGGCCGTGTCTATAACCCCCATGCCGCCCTCTCTCTCTGTTGGGCCAGCCCCACAACCCGTTTTATAGGCGGGATGAGTTTTGTCTACATACCTTGCCTACTTTCACTTTCAGGCGTCTCATCCAGTCTGAAACTGTCCGATAGCGTCCCCTCTCGGTCGGCCCCGTGACACCCGGTAATACCGCTACTAACCCGCGTTGCGGGTGGCTCCAGTTCGCTATGAACAGGCACTCGTGTAACCCATTTTGAAGTTGACGAAGGCACTCTGCCTAGGCGCTGATAAGTGACACGGGTGCACAGTGGCCTGATATTCTTCTCGGACAAGGACGCTAGTAAAGGGGATAGCGATTAATGAGAAACAAAGGAAAGATACAGGCATGAGAGAGATTAGTTCGCGTCGCGAATGGGTTCCTGAGAAGAATGAGAATTACTGGGAAACAACGACACCCGAAAGGTGTCTAAACATGAATGTTCTTTGAAAAACAGCATTTTCAGCGACGCGGTTATATCACCAGCAGCAACATACAGAAAAAAAAAACTAATAAAAATAAAAACGAACCGCAAAGGTCTAATTAAACTCCTTCGGGAGAGTTGTCGTTATTTTTCTTTTGTTGAGATGCACCGATATTTATCAGGCGCGAGGGGCCTCAACTCCCTTGTAGAGTGGACACCAGACCAGATTGCCAAGATTGTCGGATTGCTACACAAATATTTTACTTATGGGGCAAAATACGCCAGGAACTAGGCAAAACGCACTACTTCAAACCTGAATGTAGGCAAAAGCATTGCTTTTGGGGCCTAAAGATTGCCAGGGTGGGTGTACACCAGGTTGACGGAGTTGTGGCCCGCTTGATCAGGCGCATGCAACGCGAAGTGTCTCCGTACCCGGAGTAACGTACAGGCAGAGGATGTCCTGACCTATGGCTGGGGCACCTTGCCGCTCACAAATATTCGAGATGAAAACCCGAAACATAAAACGCTAGCACAGCTTCTCATACGTACTCTCAAATTTTGACTCCCGTTTTCGTCCTTCTCCTTCCTTTTCAACGGGGTATTCAGCGGACCTTTTGGAGTCCCTATTGGGATGAGCAACCTAAATACGCCGGACGTTCTCAGCCCCCCCCCCCCCCCCTTCTCTCTTGCCCTCAGCAGTCTGTCGGAGAACGGACGACTCTTCGGCCTGAGGACCCCGAAATACACCATGAATCAGCGGCCCAGTACCGCCAGGACTGCACGCACCCTCGTCCACCCCGCGGCCATTGGCCTCCTACAGGGAGGGGGGAAGGGGGGGGGGCAACCCCAACCCCCCGACCACAGTACAACCCGACCAACCCCACCCCGACACGCACACCGCGCACGCCAACCTTGGAAGAATTCGCGATTTTCCTGGGCAGCTGCCCAGCTATAGGACCAAACGCACGGCGCGGCGGGGCGTGGTGGGGCGTGGCGTGGCGAGGCGAGGCTCGGCGGGGCGGGGTGCTCAGAATAGCAGCCCCGCTTACTGCTGCTACTTCCCCTTTGGGCGTTTGGTCCACCCGGAAGGAGACTTGGGTGGCCGTGGGTGGAGGAATCGGGGTGTTACAAGCAAACCAATAAGTCTTGCGCATTCAGCCTCTACACGTTGTTGCCGTTGGTGCTCCGTCCAGGATGAGCAATGGACAGTAAACCGTCTTCGGCCAGTCGGTGAAAGGTTGGGGCGGCGTTACGCCTTCGAGTTCAAAAGAGTCCTGTTCAAAACGTTTTCTTTGCAGATTCTATAGAATTGCCCGACAGTCAATATGGTTTCGTCGTCGTCGTCGTCGTCATCGTCGTCAAAGAAGAAGAAGAAGAAGAAGAAGAAGAAGAAGAAGAAGAAGAAGAAGAAGAAGAAGAAGAAGAAGAAGAGCAAATGAGGCCTTCGCTTTTCCTTCCTTATCCGAGCACTAAAAATGAAATGTTTGAAATACTTGAATGATATCCGAGTTAATCTCCGCTGCTCGGCTGAGCCTGGCTGAGCCACGGAGCAAACGCTCCAGCAGCGCGAGAAGGGTGCCTCTCCCTCTCGGCGACGGGGCCATCCCATCCCCAGCGCAAACTTACATACACGGTACATACACAAAAGGATCAAAGTGAAAAGCGAGTCTCCCCGCGGGGTAGAGGGTGGGGTCGTCAGCTGACGAGTGGGTGAGTCATGCTCGCTGCAGTAGTCGGGAGGACCGTGCAACCCGATGCAACCCCTCCGGCTGCGGGGGAGCCGCGCATACCCGTCACGAGCAGGCCGCAGGCCAGGGATCAAAGGAGCCGAGCCGCGCGGGTCCACCAGGACCAGGACCAGCACCCACAAGACCGTTTAGTCCAGAGAACCAAATTCAAAACGAACGAAATTTTAGCTCTGGCGACCAAAATTTATCTGTGGCGATGAAATAATTTAGTCCCGCTGACTTATAATTTGATTGATGCGACCATATTTAGTTAAAAATGGGGTAACTAGCCACGCCGAGCTTCGTGTCCCGTGCTTCCCCGACACTATACTAAAGACCAAAAAGTGTGTTGCCTGCAGGCCTATTACGCGACTGTCGTCACTAGTAGTAGTGCGTTATGTGCACCTGCTCCTGTCCAGACCACCTCGTCCAGAGACAATGCATAATGAGTCAAATGCGGTCTACTCGCGGACAGAGCTCGTGAGTCACTCTGGAGATGAGTCCCCTCTCAGTGAGTAGTACCGGCGGGTCCAGTCCAGGGCCAGGAGGACTCTTCACACTCACGCAGGCGCACACTCACTCACTGACTCACCTCCGGACACAATCCCTGCGGCTGCGGCCCGTGCGAACGAGCTGCTCGATATAACTCATCGATGACTCCGATTCCGCCCATTTGTTTGGTGTTGTGGAGTGACACGTGTCCCATGCCCCACCCTGCACTCTAAATAGAAAAGGGACGATTTTGTACCTAGCATGGGTGGGTCCTTGTGCACACCCGAAGAAGGTAAAAATTTGTCCAAAGAGTACAAACAAAATGAAGCATTTGTACCTAGTCTAGGCAGAACTTGTACCTCAACATAGACTAATGAAGATGTGCACAAAGGACACCCTATCCTACAGACAAAAATTGCCCCCCCCCCCAGTGAGTGAGTGTGTACCACCCGTTCTTAATCTCTAATTGGCAAATGAATGAATGAATGAATGGACGAACGAATGAATGAATGGACGAACGAACGAATGAATGAATGGACGAACGAACGAATGAATGGGGACAAACGTCTGACAAAAGTTCAGTGACCGTACCGATATCATCGCTCTTTCCACCACATCGCAGCACATTTTAGGTGATCTCGAAATGGTAGTGAAAAAAGCAAACGTCAAAAGCCATGGTACGAGGTTTCGACAAACCTAAATTTCTGATTCAGATAGTTGCTCAGCAATTGCTTTTCAGTTTAATTTTAATTAAAAATCGATTGGGTCCTCGCTGGCTTAAAAATCAATAAATGCTCAGTGCGTTGTTATTAATGTATGCATGTAAGCTGCGGAAGGGGTG